GGTTTACCCGGGTCCATGTCTTTCTCTGACATTGCTGGATAATGCTGTTGAGAAGACGGACGACCTCCGTGGCTGACTTGAATAGAGATTGATAGGAAGCGATGCGTTGACGTTTCGTTGTTCGTTCTCGCGACGATGTGAAAGACTGGTAGAGCTGGGATCATTTACTGACCATGATGATTGGATGAATAAGTTCGTTAGATACCTTTGTTTTAAGAATTGAATCCTGAGATATGATGCGGAATTGCCTCTAGTAGCGCATGTAGGGGCTACAGCAGTCGTTGATATTACTGTGGCTAATATTGATATTGGATTGCAGCAATGTGTTTGTCTTTCCTCATAGTCACGTCTGCGAAAGGATTTGAGGCCAGAATATTTGATTCAAATTAGACTCAAGCCATGACGAAGGTCTAATGCCTGAATCTAAGTGACCATAACCATCGACGATTTCATTCATTTATTTGCATTTAGCCTTCCGGCGTTTGTTAATCTTTGCGGTTCTACGGATGTAGGCATGTTTAGGTACGACAGCATAAATGACAGCTAATTCGGCAGTGCGTATTGATTCAAGCACGAGAGTCCTCTCAGCGGTGCAGCAGTTGGTTCGATTGCTCGGCTTCGCTCACTGTCTGTTTCGGTACACTTACGAAATGAACATGTTGAAGATTTCATTTCCCATCCTTGTCTTGTCTGCTCCATATATCGAGTTATTAGATTTGACGTTTCTTCCTGTTTTTACCTGACCTTAGTTGATCGTTTTCGGTCGTTTCTGTTATCCTGAGATTCAATCAAGTGTTCTTTAAATTTTATTATTTCGTATCATAGTCTGACAATAATCGTTGCTATCAATATCGTTAATTAACATAAGTCATTGTCTGAAAATCATGTCACAGACCGGTTAATTTCCATCCACTTGTTTTTCTGTATTCTGTGCCACCTCCTACAGCTTTACATTCATTATTCGACACTCGGCTGGTGTTCTCAATAAATATAAATCGGGTATCGATTTTAACATTTGTAATAAAACTAGTTCGGTTCTGCCCAGTTTTCGTATTGACGTGCCGAAGACGACGTTTTTCGCACCACAGCGGTTTGATCAAGGGCTTTTAGCATGGAGTCGGGTCCATCACCTTAGCAGCGTCATTCCGAATGCCACGATGGAAACTTGAAGGTTAAATTCGATATATTTTACCATGTGCTGAACATATATTCTTCTGGTCAATAGATATGTACTAAGAAAAATGCCTTATTCAAAGCGTAAGCTTCGATTGATGAGTTGATTTAGCATAGAACTACAACTTGTAGAGTTTCTGCCTCTTGTGCTGAGAAAGAGCGTGTGCAAGCTGTCTTTTTCTGCAAGCCCCATACATTTTCAGGACTAGTCTCGGATCGTTTTCTTGCGGGCAAAGGATTCATCCTCTGCTTTGCCTCTACGTAATTTTAAACTTGTTTATGGTTTTACTTTGACGGGTGTTTCGTTGAGACCGTACAGAGATATCTGCCTTTATCGTCTCTGTTCTCGGTTTCTCACTGCACATGAACATCTGCTTGCATGCCACATGCATGTTCCCTGCAGATCAGGTATCATGCGTTTGCCTAATTACTGAATACTGAGCATGGTTCAGTCATTAATCCTTGATGGCAATTCTTGGTTCGTGGATGATCATGGTTGTGGAAACGCTGATATGTATAATAAAATTTTTCAGCCCATGAACTCGTAAGAAAAGTTTTGCTTTTGGTTGTCACGCTGAATCCCTGTCAGAGGTAGAGATTATTTGCACAGAAGGAGAGCGTTTATTTGCAATCACAAAAGAGCTCAAAAGCGACTTTACCATTTTGACGTTGTTCATGGTATTTTAGGGCTCACGACGCTGTCCAGGTCGCAGGCCCTACCGGATGTAGCAAGGAGCGCGAGCACGATTTTTGAATTGATCGAAGCCGGCGATTTGCTGAAGCTAAAGGAGATTTTCGATAGCAGCTGTGTGGAGTTGATCAACGAGGTAGGCTATGTTTTGAGTTAAGATTCTGTACAAGGAAGGAAACTTTTTAAGAATGGCGAAACTCCTTTGATCGTAGCGTCACGTCACAACGCTGCCGAAATCGTTGACTTCTTGTTGAAAAACGACGCGGATCCGAACGCAAAAGACAACGTAAGTTAGTTTGTTGCACCCTAAGCTATACGTGCAGCGATGGTTTTCGCAGGAGTGGTTTTCAGCATTGCTCAATGCTGCCCAGTGCGGGTTCACCGAAGTTTGTGAGGCACTGATTGACGCCGGGGCGGACATAGAAGATTCAGACATAGTTAAAAATGGTAGTTGCTGATGATATCTGTTAACGGGTCAGTTCTTAGGGAGGATGGACACCACTGGTATGGGCCTGCTATCGAAGCCGCCTTCCTGTCGTTCATTTGTTGCTGAAGCGAGGCGCCTCCGTGAACCTGATTGACGAGGTGAGATCCTTATCGTCCATCATCCTTGAATAATTTACTCATTTTCTTTGCTTTCAGCACAGCATGACTCCGCTCATGTGGGCTTCGGCACGAGGCTACACCGAAATTGTTCACCTGCTATTATCTACGGGTGCCCGCGTCTCCGTACAAGACCGGGTATAAGTTATATGAAATTTCTTCGTTATTTTTTCGGCTACCTTGAAGAGACAGACAGTAGTTTAATTGCATGGAAATGCTAATGCTCAAATGGATGTTTGTTGTCAACCAAAAGGGACTACAGGAACACCCTTCGTAAATGGGCCTTTAGGTGTAGCACCAATTTCAGCAAAGCTATGGAGAACAAACTCCGTTGGTGCGGAATCATGCGAAAGAAAAAAATGATCCAGCGAGTATGTTGGAAATGTGACCAAAGCACTGATTCTATCAGGGGAGAAGAAGTGGCAAAATAGGTTGAAGGCCAAAGAAATGTCTTAAC